CATACAAAATTTCTTTTGAAAGAACATAGTATGCCGCTTCGGGCTACCTCGGGTACTCATCTCCAATAACGGGAAGCAATTCGAGGATATCAAGTTTTAGAATTGGTGTGTTGAAATGGGAATTCAACAAAATTTCACCTCGGTGGCACACCCCCAGGCAAACGGGCAAGCGGAAGTCATCAACAGAGCCATACTTCGCGGACTGAAAGCTCGCTTAGCTCGAGCCAAAGGGTTGTGGGTAGATGAACTGCCTAGTGTACTCTGGGCCTACCAGACTACCATCAAGACTGCCATAGGTGAGACTTCTTTTAACCTCACTTACGACACAGAAGTGGTGATCCCAGCAGAAATCGAGATGCCTACACTACGCTTGGAGGCCTACGACGAAGAGACGAATGATGACGAGCTTCGTACCAACCTAGACCTGGTGGAAGAAGTACGAGACCTGGCATACATCCGGACTGCAGCTTACCAACAGAGAGTAGCTCGGTACTATAATGCCTGAGTCAAAAAGCGACACTTTCGCATCGGCGACTTGGTTCTTCGGAAGGTTATGGTACCTGAGCCTAGCGTTGGTATGCTCAGACCGAATTGGAAAGGTCCGTACCGAGTAAGATGGGTATTCGGGAAAGGTACGTACGAGCTCAAGACTCTGGAAGGGAAGCAAGTACCTCGAGCGTGGAACATCGGCAACCTAAGAAGATATTACTTGTGATCACCAAATTGGAGAGAGGACTACGAGTCACTCCCAGAAGCCCAAGGGATATGATGCCAAGCTGACATAAGACCTCGGCACTATGATAAGTCCTAGTCGCCTCCTCGGCATAGGCAGATAAGTCCCAGTCGCTTCTTCGGCATGGGCGGACAAGTCTCAGTCGCCTCTTCGACATGGGCGGACAAGTCCTATTCGCCTCTTCGGAATAGGCAGACAAGTCCTAGTCGTCTCTTCGGCATAGGCGAACCAGTTCTCATGCCTAAGGCATAGACAGTTTGGGTACAAACCCTATTATGTCTAACCCACCTCGGCATATAACAAAAGGTTGATCCCATTTGAAGTCAAGCACGATGGCTCGGCATTGAGGGATAACCGACACCTAAGCGAGTAGCCCGTGTGCAGACAAGTCGGGTATATACCCTACAGTGTCTGCCCACTTCGGCGTACAACGATGCGAAGTTATCCCTACTCGTAGTCTAGCTCATTAGCTTGACAGTTTGGGGTAACCGACACTTAGAAAAAAAAGACTATTCCTATTTGGGGTCGGCGCACAACGATGTGAAGTTATTCCTATCAGTAGTCCAGCTCGTTAGCTTGACAGCTCGGGATAACCAACACTTGGAGAAAATCTACTCCTATTTTTGGTTTAGCTCGCCAGTTCGGGAGTTATTTACACTTAGAAAGTTTCTTGCACAGAGATAGCCAAAATACTTGTATTTCATTAATGTAAAGTTTTGAGTATAAAAAAAAGAAGAAAAAAGAGACTTTCATTATGAACCGAGCTCGGAGGCTCGGGGTATACATCATAAAGGACAAAGAAAAGAGGCTTCTAATCACTTCGCAGCTCCTTACCCTTGTTGGAGGCTTCGGCAGGAGGATCCGTCTCCATGTTGGTTCTCGCCAGCACCGGTCTCCTCATCATCTTCGGACAGGTAGCCGTCGCTTTTTGCTTCAGAGTCTGGATCTTGGGCAGCTTCGACGACCATCTCCTTAGTGACCCTCGAAGTAGTTATGACACTGAGGTCGAGCCACCTGCTAAGTTTAAAACCTTTGCGGTAGCTCGCCGTCCCCACCTCGACCATCTCCTTTCGGTACTCCGCCGAAGACTTGTACTCCTCAACAGCCTTAACCTTGGCCTCCTCAATGGCTTGAAGTAGTATCTCAGTCCGCTCTTTCACGTGAGCCTCGAGGTTTTCCACCTCCCTCTTCAGTGCTGCCTCCTGCTTCGCGAGCTCCCTCTTCAAGGCCGCCTCACGCTCTTCGAGCTCCTTCGTCTCTGACATCAGCAACATGATCAACTCCTTCTTAGCCAGCACGTCCTTCTTCAGTTGGTTATTTTCGTTGCGGGCCAAGTTCAGCTCGGTGTGGGCCTTGCGAGAAGACTCTTCAGCTGCGAGGGCCCGCTTCAAGTTCACCTCGGACTGATAAGACAAGGCATGGATGGTGGAATTCACCTGCCAAGAGAAAAAAACAAGTGTCAGCATATAAAAAGCCAAGTACAAGACAAGATTGAAGAAGACAAGTCCAAAAACTTACCACCATGCAGTGAGTAGCCACTCTGGCTCCGAGTTGAGCAACCGGCAGTTCGGCCCAACCAGCAACCTCCTCGGTAAACACTACGCCTTTGCTCTTGAGGAGGCCGAATTTCGGAGTCAGAATGCTCCGAGCTGCGTCGTCGCTGCCTGAAGAAGCGGCAGCTGTCAGGGTGGGCTCCGAAGGAGAGAAACAAAGGAGAAATGAAATTTGTTATTGCTCAACATTTCAACATAAAAAAAAACACTTCATAATGCACCCAATAATGCAAAAAATAGCACCTAATCAAATATGTTTTTAGCATAAAAACACCTAATACGCATCTAGTCTGAGCAAGCAAATTGGAAAATGCAAAATAATGTTGAGATGCTTCTTCCAAGATAAATCACGTTTGCTCAAGTAAAGTCAAACCCAAGTAAAGTCAGATTGAAGAGAAACAATGAACATATGAGAAAATGAAAGTTTTAAAGAAATTAAAGTTTTTGGAGGTTTTAGGAAAAAAATGAAACAAACCTAATCCAAAATGTCCTTAGAGGAGACTATAGAAAACAAACATCTCAGCACAAACAAAAGCAAGAAAAGAGAAAACATGCATGGGAGTCCAAGGGTTTCCAACTCTTGTAGAAAAGCTTGAAAGTCCAAAAATTCTTAGGCTTTCTATAAGATTTAATGGCAGATGTGGGCAGGAGACGCTTTGGAAGTCCAAACGTTTCTGCCTTCACTTTATTTCACAAAAGTTTGATTGGTTGTGGGATAATTACGTAGATTAAAAAAATAAGGAAAATAAAAAAACAAAATTTTAGAATGGGGTTTCCTGCAAAGAGAAGGCTGTTGACATGGATAAACCAATTTTAATATATATAAACCCCCATTCTAAATTTCTATTTTTCTTATATATATATATAGATAGATAGATAGATAGATAGATAGATAGATAGATAGATAGATGGTTCAGTTGATATGGCTGTTGGTTGGTTACAATAGAGATTGGGACGGAATCCCATTGACATTGAGAAAATTTTGGTTGTTGGGGTGCTAACAAATAACAACATAGGCTGTTGGGAATGTTTTTGAGTATGGCACATCTAACCATTGAGTCCATGTTTGTTTTTTGGTCAAAAGAATATTGTGGACAATAATTACTCTTTTATCTCAATCCATGGTAACATGTCATTGCTCAAAAACATTGTCACGAGCATAGGGTTCTTGGCTGCTAAAGAAAGCTCGATTGTGAGGTTTCACAACCTCCTTCGAGATCACATCTTCTCCCCATTGAGGGTGCCGCACAAATGTCTCACATGTACATCTTAGCGTGTATTGAGAACTATCTCTCAAAATTGTTAGTGAAAGATGTTTCCAATATATGGTTGGGATATGCTGTGGGGCATTTGTGAGAGGTAGATGTGAATTCCCCCTCCCCCAAAATAGAAGTGCAGGATTAATTAAGGTATTATAAGCCTTTTAATCAAGGGTTGTTGAATCAATTTTAGTGGAATCCGATCGTTGGTAAATTGGATAATTATTGTAATGATTTTGTTTAAATACAAAATTAGTTTATTTAAAAAAATTAGGTAAATTACAAATGGTGTTAGTGACAAATACCCGAACTTTCACTTGCAATAAATACCCCGAACCATTAAATTAGATGATGGAATGATTAAATTATCAAAATGCCTATATGAACTTTCTTTATTTTCTTTTTCTCGCCATTTTCTCTTAAACCCTAATTGACCAAAAATACCTCCCCTTCTCCAAGCAAAACCAATTAAAATAATAAGAATCATTTCATTGGCATAAAACAAAAAAAGTTTTTTAAATTCTTGATTCATTTTGCTAACATAAAAAATCTCTTTTCATATTAAAATATAAAAATTATCTACTTCTTTCTCGGATAAATTAAAAAAAATCAAATGAAATCATAAATTTATATCTATCTAAAGAAACCTTACCCATTAGAGAAACTGAGATGGCTTCAATATTATATTTAGGAAATTAATTAAATCATAAATTGTTCAAATAAATAAGAAAAAGGATAATTTAAGTATTTAACAAATTTTAAACAGCTGATTGAGAACGGAATTCTAACGGAGGGGGTATTTTTCAATGTAAAAGTCGCAAATGCAAAGCTCGGAACTCGGATACTATTTGTCACTAACCCCGTAGTAGGGGTGCATTTGTAATTTACACTAAAATTTCAAATACAGAGGTTCTTAACTAAGTGGCCGATTTTGACGGTCACGATAAACCGTAGCGTAAATTAGGTGTTAAAAGTCGGTTATCTGTTGCCTGTTGGTTATTTAAACCCCAAACCCTCCTCTCATTGACTTATTCTTTATTCACATCTCTCTCGTTCTCGCGTTAGGGTTTCGTGTTCCGTTTCGGCTGGAGAAAAGAAGTATGTTTTAGGGTTTGTTATGTGTTCTAAATATTTTCTTCTGCTTCTGTTATCTTCCTTTACTGTTTCTTTTTTAGTTTCAGACGAGGTTAGGCATAATGTTTTTCTTCTTCCTTAGATTCAATATTTGGTTAGGGTTTCTGTTTTCTCAAATCTTATCTATTTATCGCTTCTCTCTATTTCTTTTTCTTTCCTTCTTTGAAGATCCTTCTCTCATAATGGGATTTTGATTCTAGGGTTCTAAAGCGATTAGGGTTTTGCTTTTACATTAATATTTGGTTTTCGCTTTTTATTTTGCACTGTAGGGTTTCTCAAAGGGTTTTTAGGGGAGATTGCGACGATGAGGCCGGTGTTCTGTGGTAATTTCGAGTACGAGACTCGCCAGTCTGATCTAGAGCGCCTGTTCTCTAAATACGGAAGGGTCGAGCGCGTGGATATGAAATCCGGTAAATTCAGTCTGTTCTTTGCTTCAGAATCGTTGTTCTCGTTTTATTGTTCCTTTTTGTTAATTGTTTGCTTGGTGCGCAAATATGAATCGCTGTGGAAGCTTGGCATTCCAAATGTCATCTTAAATTTGTATACTCGTCGATCTTAGCATATTATGTCTAAGTAAAAAATGAGATAGTGAATTGATATATGTGATTTTCTCTCTCCTTTTAATTTAATTCTTTTATGTTGTTCGGTTATGATTTTTTGGATGATAGATTTCAAGATCGCGTTCTTAATAGGTTTTATGTTAACTGTTTATTATGGACACTAGTCGAATAATTGCTGGCTATTATGGTCAGTGATTCTGGTTATAGACGGAAATCTATTCGTACGCTGACCTAATGATGATGATTAGCCACAGGCTGGAATGCCCTTTCTCGCATTAATGCTAATATGTTAGTAACTGTTTGGTTTTTGGGAATTATGATATTGTTCGATGTGGATGATTGACTACAAATGTTGTAGGTATATTCTGTAAACTTTCTGTCGGAGCTGGGCAGAAATTAAAAAGGAACATAGGAAAAAGGATTAACAGCAACGAAATTGCAGTTTCTCTGGGGAAAACATCCATATTAAATGTTTGTTTTGACGCAGGAACTACTACTAAGGGAAGCCGAGCTCCTATCTGAGCTCTGCAACTTCCGTGCAAATAACCACCTATTGGAAAGGGAACCTTCCTGCCTGCACATGAGCTCCTTCCACCCTCAAATGGCATCCTTCTTCATTTCCTTCACTCGATCATCAGTTACACACACACCCAAAATGCCCAAAGATGCCATTTCACAAGAATGGTCATAAAGGGATCTGCCAAATCAATCATGCCATGCCTATTCCTTCCATGATCATAAGGAGTCAATCAAGTCACTAATGCCATGGCCACTAGTGCTGAACACTTGCTGTCTGAATGGCGAAGCATGCTCAGCAATGACTTCTCAGTTCTGACAACTTGGATTTAAACTTTTTTGCCATCATCATGCTTTAGTTCATCATGCAAGGCCTCTCCATTATTCACATCCTTATGTTCATCAGCCTTCACATATTTGCAGGTGTTGTATTCTTCTGTTCTTACCAGGGGCATGAAATACTCATTTGGCTGTCATACCGACTCTCGGTGAAAGTAATACCCAAGGCTTGATGTTTCCACTATTCCCACTGATTTTTCTTCTTTTTTTTGCAGGTTTTGCTTTTGTTTATTTTGATGATGAACGTGATGCTGAAGATGCGATTAGGGGTCTTGATGATACTCCATTTGGTTACAGTAGGCGGAGGCTCTCAGTGGAGTGGGCAAGGGTAATTTCCCCTTCTTTCATGTTCTTCTTTGCAATTGTGTCCATAACGTTTCTTTCCATTTTAATTCTATTGTGTTTCATGCATTTTGATAGTAGCATTTTTTTATCAAATGATAGGTTATGTTTTGATTTGTTGGTTGTTAAGTTTGTCCAACGGTCACGTAGTACTGTAGTAGTTTGTTTCCTGAGAAACTTTCATATTTTCAGCAAGGTGATCGCGGAAGGCACAGAGAAGGGTCTAGGGCAATGGCGAACCAGAGGCCTACGAAGACGCTTTTTGTCATCAATTTTGATCCAATTCGCACAAGGATTCGTGACATTGAGAGGCACTTCGAACCTTATGGAAAGGTCCTTCATGTGCGTATCAGAAGGAACTTTGCCTTCGTGCAATTTGAAACACAAGAAGACGCTACAAAGGCCCTTGAGTGCACACACATGAGGTTGGTGTCTTTTGACATGTTTTGCTGGGACAATTATTCATTTACAATTGCATAAAAACAGTTTGAAAGAGAGATGGCCGGAATTTTAACGTCTCGTTAGTGTTTAAATTAACATGGTCCTCGGGCTAAATACTTGCAGCAAGATACTAGATAGGGTCGTATCAGTTGAGTATGCTCTCAGGGATGATGGTGAGCGAAGCGACAGGCGTGATAGCCCCAGAAGAGGTGGCTACGGGAGGCGTGGGGACAGTCCATATGGCCGTTCGGCAAGTCCACGTAGAGGCAGACCAAGTCCTGATTATGGGCGCGCACGTAGCCCAGCCTATGATAGGTACGACGGCCCCCATTACGAAAGGAACAGGAGTCCAGATTATGGAAGATACCGAAGGTAACTAAACCATTCACAAGTATTGAAAAGTTTTATTTCCACGAAAATTTGCCATCAAAATTTATGTCGTATGGGTGTTGATTAGGGTTTACTTTTGTTGGTTCTAGCAGCAGGTCGCCGGTCCGGAGGTCAAGGACTTGACAGAGAACCGGAGACGTCAGGTTTTGAGCTTGAGGGGGAGTTGTTTTTGAACCCAACATTCTGTCTAATATGAATGGCTTTTAAATTAGTAGGTAGGTTGATGTAAATTTTATGCTTATCTAGCTTGGTAGCCCTTCTCCCGAAACTATTGTAGTTTGTACTGGCGAATGATACTTGCAGGTTAGTGTACTTAGAATTGAGGCAAATCTTGGATCTTTTTTTATCTTTTTTTATCACATTAGTCAAGTTACCTGGGCTTTATAACGTCGTATGAATCAGAGTGGATTATAAAAGTTATAGTTTTCAGCAATGCTAATCCCACATTTGAGTTTGAGACGAAATGAACTCTCCATTAGCGTTAGTATTGTTTTCATGTATTTTGATATTTAGACGAAATGACTTGGGTGTTTTGTGTATAGTCTTTCTGTGAGGTTTTTCTCGGCTTCAACAAGCTTGGTATTTATCCGTTTGGTAGCGGTATGATCAGTGTGGTAGACCGAGTCACTTTTTGTCTTTAAAGAGAAGATCACAAGGCAATAAATTCATACAAAATAATACAAAATGTGAGGTTTTGTACTCTTTAAATTTGTATTTGTACTCCTTCCAAACTGAGCTTTTTGGGCATCTCATCCTTCTGAAAAGACTTTCTAAATTGAATTTTCATTAAACAGGATCAAGGAATGTTTAAGCCATATTAAATTACTAAAGTCTAAATCTGTAAAAGGGCCAATTTATTTATTGATTTCTTCCAGGCGAGTGCCGCAAGGCTGGCGCACTTTGGCTTCCCACCTCAAACTCAATGCCCACGTGCAGATTGCTCTTGATCAACCGATTGTCATGTAATAAAGAATCAAACGCGGTTGGATATAAAAATATTTGACTAATCTTCTTTCAGTCATGGGTGTCAAAGTTATAAATTTCTTTCAAGTTGTGTAAATTTTATAAGAGTTTTATGTGAATTTTTATCAAATTGGATTGAGGAAGTTGGAATCATATAAAGTTAATCTTATATTCTTTAATAAGGCTTACTTGATTCGGTATAAGTGCGTAAGAAAAATAAAATAAAGAATAAGAGGGAGAGTAAAGAATGAGAGAGATTGACTTTTGAGTAGGGAGAGACAACTAAGAGTGAGAAAAGTGGGGGAGATCGAAAGAAAGAGGGAGTGGGGAAAAAAAAGTGAAAATCATTTTTTTTATTTTCAAATAATCCATGTGTTCATTTTATATTAAAGTCTTATGTTGGTAAAAATCACTTAGGGGTTTTTATAATTTGAAATATAGTTGGATTATAATTTTTCATATTTTTATATATATTTATCATCATCATCATTTAAGCTTATATCTCACCATTTTATAACCCACCAGTTTTATGCGCCTCTAGCCTTTTAAAACCTTAGTGGAACAAATCTCTATGTCGATTAAGGATTGGCAATGGGGTGGGGGTCATTTATCGTCCTCAATCTCAACACTTAAATTAATCATTGTCCCTGATCTCATTTAGGAAGTGTGGACATGGGATTTTGTTATTGGAAGCCATCTGTGTTTTTTGTCTTTGATCAATCTCCCCTTTTTTCGGTTAACTTCTTTTTGGAAGGTTTATTGTGCTCAATTGCCAGCCATTGGACTATTGTTAAAGCTTGATTTTGCAACTACAAGTCTCTCTAGAGATCGGATCCAATAGGTACAACATAGGTAGCATATTCAATGAGCACTTAATAAATATTTTGACAACTCTTAAAAGTTGTCTTTAGTCTTTTTGAAGGGCAGGTTGGAGGTATTTCAAGGGTCATGTGTGAAAACAATTTGAAAGTGCTCATTTAACGTGCTTACAACCTATCAGACCTARCCATTAATCGAGAAGCGATGAGAACGACGGAACCTGTGATTGTAGAAGATTCTATTAAAAACGAATCCTAATGATTCATTGGGTGGAATGGCAGAACGAACCAGGAATATTCGGGAGATTATTTCCCCGAACCCATACATGTTTCCGTAGGTCTTATTGTAACAGGTTTATCTGGAAATTAATTCTTGCAAGCACAACAAAGCTAACAATCGTAGGGAAGAGATTCCGATTAGCTGGCCGGTGGCAATGTCAATCGAGTATAGAAAGTCCTCAATTGGAAACCGGTAGATTTGGAAACTCCCTTACATAAAGAAAAAAAATGGATCTGCCAAGATCCACGAGGTGTTGGCTGAATATTTAAATAAAGATTATAGTATCTTGCTAGCTGTTATAGAGCCATTTAATGTGAATTTTAACCTACTGTCTATTCACAATCAAGGTATTCTAATCAAAGCTGACCTATTTGACCATAACAAACCTTTTTTGGGATTATAGTCAAAAATCTCACTCGGTCCCACCAATTAAAGAAAGAAATCTGACCCCTACCGTATAGGTTAGATAAATCCTGTCTGTGAATTGATGTCAAATTTACAGCAATTTTGGTCAATGAAAAAATACGTTGGATTTTTCTCCCCTGTTGCATTAGTTGTAAGGGAGGACTTTGTCGTTTCACTTTTACCAAAACTGAATGAGGATTTGGTGATCCAAAGGTAAATCCACTGGTGACGCAAGAGAATGGTTTTTGTTCTAATATGGATAATAGAGAAAAAATGAATATGGTAGTTTAAAACTTTGGATAAGATTATGACTCTCAATCAGAAGTAGAGAGACTTGACATCATGTAGGGAACTTTAGCCGATTAGAGTTGAGATTTTGTCAAAATTTCAATGGGCTCAATCCAAAGCCTGAGCCTGAAACAATGTAAAGTGTTAACTCGGGCCAACCCAAGTTGCACCCCTAACATCATGGAACTGAAAATGGTTTAGTGCTATGATTTCGATGGTGTTATCCAACGAGTCAAAAACTTTTGGGTGAGTGGTAACTATGAAGTCAAATGGTTGGAAAGAGATCTCCTATGGGTGATTTTCAAGAAAGAAAAAGAAATGAAGAGATTTATGCAGCAGGAACCCTAGCTAATAGATGGTTACCCTTTGTTGTTGCAAAAATGGAGTCCAAACGTACCTTTAGATCAAGTTGACTTTAAGGAGCTTTGCATTACAATAGGAATCTTGAAGGCACCTGTCGTTAAAAGATGTTGGGAATGGGGTGCGAAAATGGTTTCAGTTGTAGGCGTACCTCTGAAGGAGGAAGAGAATGTAGATGAGGTGGAAACAGAGGGGGTGGAGCCCCTGTGGGAGAGATTTCTGCGGATTAGAGTCAGGATAGATACAAGAAAACCACTGGCTCTTGGGAACTTTGATGAGGATGGGAATGGAGGTAAGGAGTGGTATAGCTTCCAGTATGAAAAGCTTCTGAAATTCTACTATCAATGTGGGATTATTGGCCATGAGGAACAAACTTGTCAAAAGCTTTCCAACATGCAGATGATGGAAGAGCTTGCATGAAGAATAGCCGGCCATAACTTGAGCTCGGAAAGTGGGTTAATTAACTATGGCCCTTCGCTCAGAGCTTCGCTGGATAGGAAAGAGTTCAAATTTATCAATCGAGCAGGCAAGGAAGTTGAGCAGCGTAATACTCTGAGGCAAGCCATGGAATCACAAGCTGGAGTGACGGAACGGAATCCAGAAGCGAAAATGGAAAAGAACCCAACCAATTTAGGGGTCACCATTACAGGGGAAGTTTCTCTCAAACACGTTTAAAATCACAACGAGATGCCTAACTCGAGTGGTTCATGTAGAAAGAAGTTGTTCCAGGAGGCTCCTAGCCCTAAGGCAAGAAACTGAAACATCTTTCCACTGGAGGGTATCTTCACGGTGATCATATCGTCGGAGAAATCCCATCGACAACCAATGATCGAGGAAGAAGATGATACGAGTCATGATGGGATGCATGGAAGAGGGGGGTGCTCGAGGTTTGGTTTGCTTTTAATGGGGGCATCAGTTACAGAGCGAATGGCAGCGGGCCCATTGTGAGCTGAGAACTGAAGATGACATGGCAAGGGGTAAGTTAGCCAATGAGAGACTTGGAGTTGAGGAGTTGGACCGGGTCAGTTCATGTGAAAACAAAAAAGCAAAAAGTATAGAAATAATGAACTTTTCAAAGAGAATTTTTCTTTGGTTCTTCCAAAAAAAAGGAGCGGAGGGAGTGGTGATTAGGGAATTAGAGGATTCAAACTCGGACTCAGAAGATCAACTTGACAGAGCTACTATGAAGCTGAGACTTGCAAGGCGTGGTGGCTGGGTTAGATCTGGGTTTGAATGGGAGAACCGAAAAGTCTCTGAAGCTTGGGATGATGAAGAGGACTGTGCCATTAATGATTTGTTGGTGGAGAATGTAGAGGACGTTGAGCAAAATGATGTATGTGATAATGAGAAAGACTTAGCTACAAATGCAATGGATATGGATCTTGATGCTATGAGCAGCGTGATGAGGAGAATGGGACACAGTGACCAGCACATTGAAGAGGTAAGTTTTCATCATCATTTTGTGATGATGTCCAATTATCTGACTGCTATCACTGCTAAATTAGACTTGACTAGAGTTTGGGCCTCATTTACTTAGTACTTAAATTCGGTTAAAACTTGTTGCAAAAGGATAGGGGCATGGTCAAGTGTAAAAAAGATGGAAAACTTTGGGAAGACTAATCTTTTAAAAGTGCCTATAACAAAAGGCCTGAGGAAAAGTTGTTTTAAACCACAGTGGTTACAGTGGGAAACTCTCAGTAATAGGAAAATTGCTATAAAGAAAAAAAGAGGTCGAGTCAGGATTGGTGGAATCAGGGGGGTGTATCAAAGGAAGCCGACTGGGGTTATAATTGATCCCTCAAATCTCAAATTAAGGGATTCTACTAATTATTGTAAAGAATCTATTCTGTACTCTGGATTGGATAATAAAAAAAAGTGGGTTTGGGGTTCTGTTCCGCAACAGACCTCGGGTAAAAAATGAGGATTATGAGCTAGAATTGTCAGAGACTAGGGTTTGCCCTGACAATTCATGCTGTGAGAGAGACCTGTGTAAATTTAGGAGTTAATTCTGTTTTCTTAATGGAGACTAAAAATTATTTTCTAAACTTCAAGAAATCCCTTAAATTGTTTAAGGATTAATGGTTGGGGGTGGATTCTTCAGGTCTAAGTGGGGGCCTAGCTCTCTTCTGGAAAAATGATATTGAAGGACATGGCAAAGGTTTTACAGTGAATCCCAACTTTAGAAGTTTAGGAGATTTCTAGAGGAATGTGGCTTACATGAGGTTCAAAGTGAGGGACCAACTTTTACCTAGTCTAACAAGAGGGAAGGTAATAAGTTAATCAGAGCAAGACTAGACAGAGTGGTTTGCAACTCCTAGT